GTTGTTAAATATGTTCATATACCGTAATTTCTTATATAAGCATAGCAACTGTTTGTAAAAAAAAAAACAAAGACATACGTCATACGTTCAGTTTTCAAGGGAGGTAACGTTTTTTAAATTATTATTTTTCAAATAATTGTATACTATTTTAAACAGAAACAGAAAATGACGAAGTATAGCATTTGTTTTAGTACAAAATTAAGTTGTTAATTTAGTTACGTATCCCAATTAAATAAATAAATAAATTTCAAAAGGCAATGTAATAAAAACTATGAGATGTACTTTTCATGGAAGCTGTGTAGTTCTAATTCCATTTTACTTATACATTGCGTACTTTCCGATATTTCTCTGAGAACGGTATTTAAATGACAAACTAAAACATTTTTTTTCTAAAGTTAGCATTACTGTTTAAATTAAAGCACTCAACACCAAATCCATCGCTAAATAATTAAGTATTCAAATTCTCAAATGTTATTTAAAAACCTAAGCGAAGCTAGGCAGTATGCCTAGTATATATATATATATATATATATATATATATATATATATATATATATATATATATATATATATATATATATATATATATATATATATATATATATATATAATATAGGTTGTTGTATTTTGTATTTGTATAATATGGGTGGTGTATGTTTGTATATATATATATTCACCGATTGAATGTGTATATGGGTGGGGTGTGTGTGTAAATATATTCGCTGATTAGATGTTTGTATAGCTGGGGTGTGTGTGTAAATATATTCGCTGATTAGATGTTTATATGGCTGGGGTGTGTGTGTAAATATATTCGCGGATTAGATGTTTATATGGCTGGAGTGTGTGTAAGTATGTTCGCCGATTGGATGTGCATGTGGGTGGGGTGTGTATAAATTCAGCGATTGGTATCACACCAACCCTTTATGTCTTTTTTCGACTTGGAACGGGTATTCACTTTCTGTCTTCTCACCTACGCACGATGTGTCGTGTCAAAGCAAGCAAGTTACGCATTTAATCAGAGTGCACTGCGGTGGGGTGCGCATTGATCTTTATTGAAGGAAATATTGTGTCATTTTTTTGTAGAGTGTTGTTCGACTTTCTCAAGGTAAGAGTTTTAACTCTTTTGTCGTAAAGATGAAATAGGACTACGTTTACCATAACAAAACCGTTATGTAACTTAGCTTGTACAAACTCATAAGCATACATATGATACAGTAAAGTTACTAGATCTAGAATCTAGATATATAGACCTGATTTGACCCCCCCCTCCCCCTTATCACACACCGTCACAAAATTACGGACCCCCCCTCCCCCCTATGAGTGTGACGTCATTTATGGACGACCCCCAAAGGGCGTGACCGAGTTGACGAGAATGCTCCCATCATTATTGTTGACATGGTCACATGGATACAAATCGTGGTTTTTTTTTTATTTTTAGATTTTGCCATCAAAGCAGCCATTAAAAAAAAAAAATAAAAAAAACTTCAGCCTGAAAATAATTCAGAAATTTAATATTTTTAGAAACAATGTTATAAATATTTTGAATCCAGGGAACTTGAAAATAATTGATGGGTTTAAGGCTAAACTTCTGTTTATTTTCATGATACTTTACACAAACATTGATTACCCAAACAGGAACTCCATGATAGATATTTTGTAAACCCCACTTCACAGTGGTTTGTTTTCAAAACTTTGCTGCAAAAGTTTTTAAAATAAAAATAAAAATGTAAACCACATGACGTAGTTCTGCCATTTTTGTTTACATCGTCTTTGATAAAAATGTAAACAAACAAATTTTTTGTGGCATTTGTATTTTTTTTTTGTTTAGTTACCAAAAATACTAAACACATCAAATACATCCAATCTTTAATAAAGTCCAACAAAAAACCAAAGTCAGATTTTTAGCCATAATTAGTTCAATAACATCGTGCATGATTTTGAAAACATTTAAAGGGAGATGAAATGTTAACCTAACTGCCATGCCTGTATTATGTGCTAGTTTATATATATATATATATATATATATATATATATATATATATATATATATATATATATATATATATATACTAGCAGCTTAGAACCGGCGCTGTCCGGGTTTTGGGGATAATATACAAGTTAAAATTAAACGTCTATATTCGAATATGGACATTCGAGAAAGTACATATAACCCTAAATCTAAGCAGAATCATAACCATAATTATAAACATAATCATAACTCTATCCCAATATTTACATATGTCCCTATAATAATTCCTACCATTATCCCTATCCTATCCCTAGTCTTGTGATTGTCATTGTACTTATCTCCTTTTCTCTATCCTTAAACCTATCCATTTCCCTATTTCTGTCCCTATCCTATTTTATTTACCCTATCTCTTTCCATATCCTTATCTCCTACCTATACATGTAAATAAATCTACACCTCCACCAACAGCACAACAACCTACTCCTAAACCTACGCCTACACCCACGTCTACACCTAAAACTACACCAACAACTAAAACTACATCTATATTTAAAACAATACCTATAGGGCTGGTAACTAGGTCACCAACCAGTTCTACGGCTCAAAAAAACCTGCATGAGCCATAGAACTGTTTATTGACCTACTTACCAGCCCTATACCTAACCTATTTCCAGAGGCGTAGCGACCCTTCCCGGCGCCCGGGGACAAACTTTTCGATTTGCACCCCCCCCCTCAAGATTTCGATTTACACCCCCTCAACAGTTTTCACCCTAAAGATTTTCACCCATCAGTTTTTTCACTCAACAGTTTTTCACTGAACAGTTTTTCACCCTAAAGATTTCATCCATCAGTTTTTTTTTATTCAACAGTTTTTCACTCAACAGTCTTTCACTCAAGTCTTTCACTCAACAGTTTTTCACCCTAAAGATTTCATCCATCAGTTTTTTATTCAACAGTTTTTCACCAAACAGTTTTTAACTCAGCCAGCATGAGATTTAAAATTTGGTGTGTCTCTGTGGTCGTCGTTCTTGTTTCCATGGCGACCGTCGCGGCCGTGACGGTGCGGGAGATTGAGAAACTGAAGGCGAACATTGTGGCACAGGAGGCGGCTATGAGGATAGGCAGTGGGGTGGAGCTGAACGGGAATGAGATGCTTTTGGATTTTTTCCTACAAGAGGTACAAGTGATGTGTTGGCGGAGCTGTGCATGGATGTTTGGATTAGTTGTGTTCACGTTCTTATACTTACTTACTTACTTAATCCTCATCACTCCCTGTGGAGTATAGGGCAGCAACAAATCTCCGCCATTCCACCCTGTCCTGGGCGAGCCACTTTAGTTCATGCCAGGTTTTGCCAGTAGCCTGTACTTCTTCTTCCATCTCTCTCCTCCATGTTCCCAGTGGTCTTCCTCTATTTCTCTTTCCGGGTGGGTTCCACGTTCTTATACATAGGTACAAATGGATGAGGTTATGATTAGGGTTAGAAAGAGGGGCAGTGATATTGATAGGGAGAGGTATGGAGAGAAGGATAGGGCAGGGGAGAGGATGGGATTATTCTAAGGGCTAGGATGTCGACGAATGAGATAAAACTGGAAGCTTTTCACAATAAGTGCTTCATACAAATATTGAGAATCTTTTGGTCAAACACCACCTAAAATGAGGGGTTTAAAAGAAGAACACCCATTCAACTATCAAAAGGCGTCATTAGATAAAAAAGATGGGGGATGGTTGGGTCGCGTTCTATGAATAAGAGCAGACCCATTGTCTAGGACTGCCACAGGACAAGAGAAAACGAGGGTAGCCAAATAAAACAGAAGGTTAAAAGAGAAATAGTTGAAAGAAGAGGCCTAACATTCCAATTGACAGAGGTTTTAGCTAAAGACGGGATGCAATGGCGCTCAATTCTTGATGGGCGCTGAGAGATGATGGTGTCGACTCTTATGGGGATTAGGATAGGGACTAGGATAAAGGCTGGAATTGACTGGGATAAGGATTAGGATAGAGGCTGGAATTGACTGGGATAGGTTTCAGTTGAAACCCATCTTTGTAGTTTCCACTTACAGGTCCTGTCACCAGATGTTTCTTGGTTGACCGCTATTGCGCTTTCCACTAGGGTTCCACCTCAATGCCTGCCTGGTAATGTTGGTTGGCCGTCTGACCATTGTATGCCTATCCAACTCCTCATTTCTTTATCTGCGGGTGGTTGTTTGTCGTTGTTGATGATTCTGTCGGGCCAGCGGATGATGAGTGTTTGTCTGAGGAAACTGTTTATAAAGGTCTGGACTTTATAAATGGTGGTCTCTGTTGTCCTCCAAACTCTCTGCCCCATATAGCAGCACTGACATTAGAGTTGATCAGACGCACTTTGTAGGATAAGGAGAACTCACTGGAAGTCCAGCTTTTCTCTACCTGTGTGAATGCTGCTCTTGCATCTGTTCCTACCTGATGGTCCACTATACTTAAGTAGATAAAGGACTCGTTTCCTCAGTGTGACCAGTCCAGTGCTGGCGGCGTTAATATTCAGTACTTTAGTTATTTGCTTGATGATGTTAAGTCCAACCTGCGCTGACTTTTCTACCACAATGTTTTGTTTTCTCCTGCATCTGCTGTTGGTTGTTGGAGAGACGCGCGAGGTTGTCTCCAAAGTCAAAGTCGTCAAGTTGTTCTCACAGAGTCCCCTGAATTTCATTTCTACTTACTGTGATTGATGTTTTCAGTATCCATTACCATTACCATTATTCTTAGCCTCTGAACACAATTTTCTTTAAGTCGTTACCCACTGAACCATTTTCTCTGAAAGTCTGTATTTTAATCGATCCCTTTTCCATTAACTAGCTGTGTAACATGCGTAGCTCATTCTTCATTTGCCTCCAGCAAAAAGAAATGGTAATGGAAAACAGCCGTAAGAACAGACAGACCTACCTACCAGCTGGCAGCTTCTACAAGGTGAAACCGAACGTCAGTGAAGAAGCGATCTACAAAATCATTCAGTTAATGCCGAAAGGTAACCTCGCTAAACATACTTCGGCGTATCCGTTTGCTGTAAAGGTTTTTCCTAGACGGCAAATAATGATTTCGGGTTGAATTGAACTAGTTATTTAATTGTAAACACTGTTGACATCACATTTTCTTGAAATCAATTGTTTGGGTTCTGGCTTGTCCCACTGCCGCCCTGATGCTAATGATGCGCAGAGTAAAAACCTTGAGTGTATGTTGATCACCACCCACATCGGCGCGGTAGGGCACACCTCGGGCGACCGCACTGGGTGTCAGAGGCTTCTCGGTTACACCACCATAGAGGCGCTGTCTGCCACTCCGGGAAGTATATAGTAGTAGTATGCACAGCGCAGAGCACACCTTAAAACGAATGTAGGCGCCCAAGTGCTCGCATGGGAGTCTTGAGTGCTCCGGGCCTCGTGACTGCTGATTCAAATAGTATCTGATATTTTTATCAGGGATAATGTCAGATTTTCGAGTGAGGTGTATTTAAATCTGATAGAAGGTATGGCGAATCACAAGAACTAGTTTCACAATCCTCAAACGCTACTATATCTTTGTTTTGTATTTGAGTTCAACTTCCTGATTTTGGAAAATTAGTCCCCACCAAAGTTGTATTTCGAACTTGCCAGTGTACTTTTTTTATTACTTTGCTACTTTAAACGATAATTAAACGTCGAGAAAGAATACTATAGAAACCTATCTTTTAATTACAAACAATCTGAAATTAGGGGCCGGCCTTCATCTTCACGACGCGGGTCTGACCAGCAGCCATTGGGTCATCCAAAATTTGACATACAGAGACAATGTCTACATGAAGGTGGACGAGCATGACTTTGTCTTCTTTGCGGTCTTTGACGGAAACCCGGGAAATCTTACAGGTAAATTTTTACAAATGATCCTACTAGGCATCCCGCATCATAAAAGTAAAAGCATTCCACGTTATAAAAGTAAACATTCAACAATATAAAAGTAAGTATTCCAGATTATAAAACTATAAATTCAACAATATAAAAGTAAGTATTCCAGATTATAAAAGTAAACATTCAACAATGTAAAAGTAAATATTTCACACCATCAAAGTAAATATTCTACATTTTAAAATTAAACGTTCCACACTATAAAACTAAACATTTCACAGGAAAAAAATAAACTTCCCTTGATATAAAAGTAAACATTCCACACTACACCCTTTTTAAGTAGGCTTCTTTCTCGGCAGAAAGCTTTTAATTAGATTTATAGCAAGAATGAGTCTATTTATCTACTATATATTATTCATACAAGTTGGGTAGGTATTGGCACGAATGTAGAGTTGTAAATTGGGGGGGGGGGGGGAGGGGGAGATAAAGCCCATATATCTACTCTACTGCATTGTGCCCTGAGGGCTTACCTAATCTCAGGGAAGAGTGTAATGATAGTTTGTCATGGCATTTACTCATGTCATGCCCTCATGATAGTTACACGTGGTATGTCATTTATCCGTGTTTAGTTACTTATGTGTCATGACATTTACATGTGTTATGGCATTTACCCGTGTCATGACATTAACCAGTGTCATGACATCTAAGCGTGTCTTGTATATTATTGTACCACGAAACTAAAGTCTACCTTCTAACATCTAAATCTACATCTACTTGTATGCACCATGACACTAAAGTCTACCTTCTAATATCTAAATCTACATCTACTTCAGTGGCGTAGGCAGAGGGGGGGGGGTTAGGAAGGGTCATAACCCCCCCATAGACCCCTCGGTATATATATATAAAGTATGTGGGGGGGGGGGGGTGCAAATAGAAAGTTTGAGGGGGGTGTGCAAATCGAAAGTTTGAGGGGGGTTGCAAATCGAAAGTTTGAGGGGGGTTGCAAATCGAAAGTTTGAGGGGGGGGGGGGGGGTGCAAATCGAAAGTTTGAGGGGGGGGGGGGTGCAAATCGAAAGTTTGTCCCCGGGTAAAAAATGGACCCCACCCCTTGAGACGATCCTGGCTACGCCACTGATCTACTTGTATGCGCCATGCAGCATTCAGTATGTATCACTGACATGCTTTCATTTGTTGACATCAATGCTTCACAAATAAACAACATTGATTTAAACCAATCTACTTTCTATTTTTATGTGCACCAAGAGTGGGAACAAGTACAAGCCCGACGTAGTGCTGCTGGAAATGTCGAGCAGTTTGACGAAAAGTGAGCGAATGTTTTTTTTTTAACATCCTAGTTTGAAACATGCATTAAAACCAAAATAACGTTTTAATATATATATATATACATATATATATATATATATATATATATATATATATATATATATATATATATATATATATATATATATATGTATTACGGAGGCTAAGATGTGATTAAAACTTCTAGAACATACAGCTTCCCATCGCCCCCATTGACTTCTCACTTTATCATTTTTACTACAAACATCGTAGTCAATCACTCATAATGGTTTAAGATTTCTTAGAATAACTTCCCCTTATTCCACACTAAAAAAAAAACTAAAAATGTCACACAGGTAAATCAAGTCAAACTGAATCTCAATTCAGAAATATTTCTTCTCCCATCTCAGAAATATGTCTCTCCCATCTCAGAAATATGTCTCTCCCATCTCAGAAATATGTCTCTCCCATCTCAGAAATATGTCTCTCCCATCTCAGAAATATGTCTCTCCCATCTCAGAAATATGTCTCTCCCATCTCAGAAATATGTCTCTCCCATCTCAGAGATATCTTCCCATCTCAGAAATATGTCTCTCCCATCTCAGAAATATGTCTCTCCTATCCCAGAGATATGTCCTTCAATCTCCTATCCCAGAAAATGTTCTCCAGTCTCCCACAGAAATATGTCCTTCATCCCCCCCCCCCCCCCCCCCCCCCCCCGCATACAAAACCAATGAAGGATCCTGCAATTTATTTAATTGATGATGCGAACATTTCCGGCTCTAGAGGCAGCCCCCCTCCCCCTTAGCCAGACAGACAGCCCCCTCCCCCTCCCCCTTAGCCAGACAGGCAGCCCCCCCCCTCCCCTCCTAGCCAGCAGGTCTTTATCTGACACAGTCCGACCAAATGACTGACCTGTTTCACTGACATATACGGGCAATGACTCTGCTACAATAGATTCATTTATTAAAGATTGCCTTTTAAGAAAGCGCCTTCAATAAAATTAAAACTGTTACAGAAGTCTGACCCTCCCCCCCTCCTCCCACCAATTTTATGACAGTCTGGGGGTGGGGAGTCTATCGTAGGTCAAGGCTTTGGTTAACTGACCTCTGTGATTGTGTCTCCTCTCCCAGGCTACGCCAAAACATCAGTCTGCTGTCCACCGACCCGCTTACAACATACTCCACCACGGCCGAAGTTCGGCAACGTTTTGAGAGGTACCTGCAGCAGGTACGATCTGGGTTTCTTTCAGACTTTTGGTTCTCAGGAGAAAGTTGGGGGTGGGGGGGCACTTTAAACTTTGCAGGGAAGCGGGCAATTATAAAAATGTTAAAGAATATATTTTCTATTTAAATTAAATAATTTTCTATTTCCTCCAGGGGGGAGGGGGTTACCAAAAACACATTGTTGCAACTGGGAGTCATTTTTTTCGTTTACCAGTTTTTAAAGATTTTGCCGGATCTTGCGCATGCGCATAGAGTTGCTTCCGCTATCCGTAATTGTAAAAAAACCGGGCGTAGCGAGGGGGTGAGGGGGGGGGGGGGGGGACACACATGTCCCCGGGTGCCGACCTAAGGGGGCGCAAAAAATGGGTTGGAAAAATAAAATGAAAGGTTGAGGGGGTTGCAAATCGAAAGTTTGAGGGCGGTGCAAATCGAAATCTTGAGGGGGCACCGGGAAGGGGTGGCTACGCCTCTGTAGTGATGTAGAGAAAGTCGGCAAGGGGAGGGGCTGGGAGGTGTCTAAAATTCCTGACCAGCATATGTGTTTACACCTTGAAGATGAGATATCTGCTGTACAACACTGAGATCATGAGAGACTACTTCAGACAAGCGCTGGAGGAATTCAAGGCAGACAATGTGCAGTACATCGAAGTGCGGAGTATTTTGTCTATGGTAAGTAACAGCACGAATTTTAAACTGCTGGCTGTTTATCGAAGTATACAAGTTATTAAGCATACACACATAATAAAATATTTAAAAAAAATAGCATACAAAGTTGTTTAGTTTTTTTTAAAATTCGAATTATTTACTGCAAGCTTAAATAGTAATGTAGAAAGTTTTTTTTTAATTGGAAAGAAGATTAGATACCGCTTTTTCTATCACCTAGTTGAAAAGATGAAAATGATAGTTTAGAAGAAAAGACAAGATTTCTGATTGGTCAGATGATCATGTAACGTGATCTCTATCTCCTAGTATTGAAGATCTTCTTCTTCGTCCTTAATTTTAGTGTAGGAAGGGATCTATTCAGTATACGTGTCAACTGGTTATGCCGTTGTCTCCGATTTCAGCCTGCTTTTCTTTTTGGATTTGCTTCCATAGCAAGAACAAACTACAAGGCAGAAGTTGTTTGATTTTGTAGTTGTCTCTATTTGAAGAGTGGCTGTCCCCAGCTAAGGAGCCTCATCAGCCCGAGGGTTCGAACTCGAGATTTTTCGGTTTAGCAGCCATAAGCTCTACCGACTCGGACCATGCCGACCCCTTATTTTTTATCTCCCAGTTCACGAGTAATGTCAAGGACGCACTACGGATGTTCGACCAGGTGGTGCACGAGTTCAAGAAAGACAACCCGGACTTCATTGGAGCCAAGATAATCATGACGAGCCTCAGGTACCTAGCAATATATTGCCACGTCTGCAGCCGATCAACTCCACCACACCTGTCCGCTTATCAACTCCACCACACCTGTCCGCTTATCAACTCCACCACACCTGTCCGCTTATCAACTCCACCACACCTGTCCGCTTATCAACTCCACCACACCTGTCCGCTTATCAACTCCACCACACCTGTCCGCTTATCAACTTCACCACACCTGTCCGCTTATCAACTCCACCACACCTGTCCGCTTATCAACTCCACCACACCTGTCCGCTTATCAACTCCACCACACCTGTCAGCCTATCAACTCCACCACAACTGCCAGCCTGTCGTTACAACTCCACTACAAATACACGCCTTTCAGAACAAATCCACCACGTCTACTTAAAAAATTAAAATAAGCTATATTCCCCCCCCCCCTTTCCCTTCCCTTCACCCCACACCCCACCGACAGACACCCCCTGCAGGAGACTGTGGCCGAGGAAGTGCAGACGGCGCTGACAGCAAGGGCCGCTTACCCTGACCTAGTGGCGGGGTTTGACCTGGTGGAAGAAGACGAAAACGGCAGACCACTGTCCTTCTACCTGCAATCTCTGACTGCGACTGATGGGAAACTGCCTTACTACTTCCATTCTGCTGAAACCAGTGAGTACACTAGAAGACACGACACACTCAGATGAAACCAGTGAGTACACTAGAAGACACACTTCCATTCTGCTGAAACTAGTGAGTACACTACAAGACACACTTCCATTCTGCTGAAACCAGTGAGTACACTAGAAGACACGACACACTCTGCTGAAACCAGTGAGTACACTAGAAGACACGACACACTCTGCTGAAACTAGTGAGTACACTTGCCGACACACTTCCATTCTGCTGAAACCAGTGAGTACACTAGAAGACACGACACACTCAGATGAAACCAGTGAGTACACTAGAAGACACACTTCCATTCTGCTGAAACCAGTGAGTACACTACAAGACACACTTCCATTCTGCTGAAACCAGTGAGTACACTAGAAGACACGACACACTTCCACTCAGATGAAACTAGTGAGTACACTAGAAGACACACTTCCATTCTGCTGAAACTAGTGAGTACACTAGAAGACACGACACACTTTCACTCAGATGAAACTAGTGAGTACACTAGAAGACACACTTCCATTCTGCTGAAACTAGTGAGTACACTTGCCGACACGACACACTTCCACTCAGATGAAACTAGTGAGTACATTAGAAGATACAATTTAGGGGATCCTTCACACCAATAGCATCTAAATAAGAACACAAAACATACTTTTGATAGCAAAAGCGTCAGTTGCTTATAGTTTTTCTAACATATTTTACCGACACATGCTGTCATGAATGAAAGCAAGTTTGCTTTATTTTCTTATTATTAGTGCACTTAAAAGCTTGTTATTGTAAAGGCTTTTGTATTTGTTTTCTTCAATACCCTTTATAATAATAATACATTTCAAATAATCAAGATAGTAGGTTGATATTTAAATTTAACAACACAATTAGTGCAATTTTTACATTTTACATTTAGCTCGAACTAAATCTCAGCATAAGAAATGGGTCAAAATTGTCATTTTAAGATTCGACCCACAGACAGTCAGATAGACAGACAAACAGATATTGTGACCTAAAGAAAAACTTGTAATAATGACTATATACTCGAGACTTTGTGTTAGGGTCATCCAAACGGAGGGGAAAGGGGGGGGGGGTCTAAAATCTGAAATCGTTGTGGACGTCATAAATGGACGACCCCAATAAAATATTGTCATTTACTGTTTTGACAAGATTGTTTTCAAGCTACAATGTCTGTTGGTGTAAATTTGTACGCGTTTAAATCTTTTTACTCGATTTTGATCCTTTTATAAATGAAAGGGCTTTTATGCATTTAACTTTAAGTATTCTCTCTGACGATGACGCAAGAATATTTTAACTTTCAGGTTAATAGGTTGTATTTCAGAACATGACGGCCTTAGGGGACTGACGATTATAATGACGCTAAATAATTCAGATTTCAATTGTTACCGATTCAGTTTCTTGGATATGTGGAATTGGATTAAAAATTAATAATAACAGTCTGGGCATTAAAATAGCATACCTACAAAAGTTAAGATTTTGAAATAATACTATTTATTTTATCGTTTCATATATAAGCAAGTACTGGAATTTTTTTTAATATATATAATCAGAGTATGCTTACATTTGTATGCAGTTAAAACTTGTTATTATAATGGGAGTTGTGGTGACTGTTTTGTATTTCCTTGTACAGAATGGCAAGACACCGAAGTCGATCGGAATGTTATCGACGCCCTCCTCCTGAACACACGGCGCATCGGGCACGGCTACGGCCTGCTCAAGCACCCCAAGGCACTGGAGATGGTGATGACGAAAGACACGGCCATCGAGATCAACCCTATCTCAAACCAGGCGAGTCTAAAAACAAACAATTTTGTCTCACACTCGTAGGGGTCCGTAATTTTGTGACGGTGTGTGATGATGGTGTGAGGTCACATTTTTGCATTATAAAAAAGCAATGTTAGAAAAACCAGCTTGAGCCGTTATTTCGCGTTTTAGAAAACGGTTTTAATTAATTGTAATAGGAATTGATCGAAATACTCTATGTTGACAGCGTTCTGACAAGATTTTGGAAAAAATGTCGATGTTTGAAGAAAAATTCAACAGCAATTTTGAGGGGGGGGGGGGTTGTAGGCTGAGGTGTGACGTCATTTTAGTGGGGGTCTGGGTTTTTGTGACGACGTGTGACGGAGTGGAGGGGGGAGGTAAAAATCGTCAAAAAAAGCGTGACGTCATTTATGGATGACCCCAAAGATTATTGAGAGGTTTGATTAATTTGATACATAATAAAAAAAAAGTACTATTAATTAGACCAGTATTTAGGCAGTTATACACGTTTTTTTTTTTTTGTTGTTGTTGTAAGGGGCGATCCATAAATAACTTCACGCTTTTTTAAAACGATTTTTACCTCCACCCGTCCCCTCCGTCACACATCGTCACAAAAGCCAGACACTCCCCCTTAAATGACGTCACACCTCTTAATTAAAACATCGATATTTTTCAAAAATGTTGTCTGAACTCTTTCAAAATAGAGTATTTTAATAAATTCCTATTACAATTAATTTAACAGTTTTCTAAAACGCGAAATAACGGCTAAAACTCGTTTTCTATAATTCCTTTTTTTGTAATGCAAAAGTGTAACGTCACACCATCTGACCCCTCCCCCTCATCACGTACCACCACAAAATTACGGACCCCCCCCCCCCCTTTACGAGTGTGACGTCATTTATGGGCGACCCCTAAGGGTTACATTTCGCGTGTTATTATTTTTAGAAACCAACTCCATCTAAAACTTTTAAAAAATATTTTGAAACAAAGTTTAAACAATAATTTAGCTGATAGAATTTTGGGAGTATAATTTTAAAAATACAGTTTTGACAGTAAAAGTTTGAAAGTAAAAGTTTGGAAGTAAAATTTTGGAAGTAAAATTTTGGAAGTAAACGTTTGGAAGTAAAAGTTTGGAAGTAAAAGTTTAAAAGTAAAAGTTTGGAAGTAAAAATTTGGAAGTAGAAGTTTGGAAGTAAAAGTTTGGAAGTAAAAGTTTGGAAGTAAAAGTTTGGAAGTAAAAGTTTGGAAGTAAAAGTTTGGAAGTAAAAGTTTGGAAGTAAAAGTTTGGAAGTAAAAGTTTGGAAGTAAAAGTTTGGAAGTAAAAGTTTGGAAGTAGAAGTTTGGAAGTAAAAATTTGGAAGTAAAAGTTTGAAAGTAAAAGTTTGGAAGTAAAATGTTTGAATTTTTTTTTTCTGTAAAAGATACTCGGCCTTGTCTCGGATCTGAGAAACCACCCCATGGCAATGCTGGCCTCACAGACATACCCGGTAGTGGTCAGCTCGGACTACCCCGCCGCCTGGGAAGCGGCACCCCTCTCCCACGATTTCTACGTCGTGTTCATGGCGACGTCAGGCCAGAAAACAAGTCTTCCCTTTCTGAAGCAACTGGCCGTCAACTCTATTAGGTAATGTGTATTGTGTATCAGGGGTAATCTATTAGGTAATGGGTGTATCAGGGGTAATCTATTAGGTAATGTGTAGGGTGTATCAGGGGTAATCTATTGGGTAATGGGTGTATCAGGGGTAATCTATTAGGTAATGGGTGTATCAGGGGTAATCTATTAGGTAATGGGTGTATCAGGGGTAATCTATTAGGTAATGTGTAGGGTGTACCAGGGGTAATCTATTAGATAATGTGTAGGGTGTATCAGGGGTAATCTATTGGGTAATGGGTGTATCAGGGGTAATCTATTAGGTAATGGGTGTATCAGGGGTAATCTATTAGGTAATGGGTGTATCAGGGGTATCTATTAGGTAATGTGTAGGGTGTACCAGGGGTAATCTATTGGGTAATGGGTGTATCAGGGGTAATCTATTGGGTAATGGGTGTATAGCAGGGATAATCTATTAGGTAATGTGTAGGGTGTACAGGGGTAATCTATTGGGTAATGTGTAGGGTGTATCAGGGGTAATCTATTAGGTATATATATATATATATATATATATATATATATATATATATATATATATATATATATATATATGTATATAATATATATATATGTATATATATATATATATATATATATATATATATATATATATATATATATATATATATATATATATATATATATTTATATTGGGCTGATGACCCTTTCCATTGACCGGGCATATGATCTCTACAAAGAACAACGTGTCTGTGTTGCAGGTACAGCAGCATGACGCCATTCGACAAACATGTAGCACTGAACAAATGGAGCCAGAAATGGGACGAGTTTGTGAACAAGACCCTCACCCTCTTCAACCTAACAATCCACACCCACTCTACAAACGGACTAAGTCCTTCACAAACGCCTGCGGGTGTTGTCTTTCTCTTCACCGTCGCTTGTTTCTCGTTGATCGTCAAAGTTGTCATTTGAGTACAAGTTGTATTGACAGAATCTACAATACAAGTTGTATCTACAGAATCTAAAATACAAGTTGTATTGAAAGAATCTACAATACAAGTTGTATTAACATAATCTACAATACAAGTTGTATTGACATAATCTACAATACAAGTTGTATTGACAGAATCTACAATACAAGTTGTATTGACATAATCTATAATACAAGTTGTATTGACAGAATCTACAATACAAGTTGTATTGACATAATCTACAATACAAGTTGTATTGACGAAATCAAAACGTCCATACCATAGACGTGTTGTGTTGATCTCCTAAACTTGGAGATTGAACCATTTTTTTTTACATAAATTCTGTTTACTTAATTAAAAGATTTAAATAATTTCTTCTCCGTAGTATTTGTTTTTTTAAAGACTTTTATCTCCTCGTTAAAAACACATTCATTTTTGTATTTGGCTTAACTACTACAGTCAGTTCAGTTTGTAGGCGCAGGAAGGTGAAACGGCTTAGCTATATATTGTTAACCTACATAAAGTAAGGACCTTGAAATAGTTCACCTACATAGAATAGATGTCGAAATAGTTCAACTATATAGTACAGTTGAAATAGTTCACCTACATTGTACAGTTGAAATAGTTCACCTACATAGAATAGATGTCGAAATAGTTCACTTATATAGTACATTTGAAATAGTTCACCTACATAGAATAGATGTCGAAATAGTTCACCTATATAGTACAGTTGAAATAGTTCACCTACATAGAATAGATGTCGAAATAGTTCACCTATATAGTACAGTTGAAATAGTTCACCTACATAGATGTCGAAATAGTTCACCTATATAGTACAATTGAAATAGTTCACCTACATAGATGTCGAAATAGTTCACCTATATAGTACAGTTGAAGTAGTTCACCTACATAGATGTCGAAATAGTTCACCTATATAGAATAGATGTTGAAATAGTTCACCTATATAGTACAGTTAAAATAGTTCACCTACATAGAATAGATGTCGAAATAGTTCACCTATATAGTACAGTTGAAATAGTTCACCTACATAGATGTCGAAATAGTTCACCTATATAGAATAGATGTCGAAATAGTTCACCTATATAGTACAGTTGAAATAGTTCACCTACATAGATGTCGAAATAGTTCACCTATATAGTACAGTTGAAGTAGTTCACCTACATAGAATAGATGTCGAAATAGTTCACCTATATAGCACAGTTGAAATAGTTCACCTACATAGAACAGATGTTGAAATAGTTCACCTATATAGTACAGTTGAAATAGTTCACCTACATAGATGTCGAAATAGTTCACCTATATAGTACAGTTGAAATAGTTCACCTACATAGATGTCGAAATAGTTCACCTATATAGTACAGTTGAAATAGTTCACCTGCAGTTGTAAACTAGGGTTAAGATCCATCTACATTAAACCGCCACAGAAATGCAATCAAGTTATAAATTTTCTGAGCCGACTATTCCAGATAAAGTACAATTTATTGATCTAGCGATAAGAAAATGTGACCCGATTCTTTAAGTTTGTGTGGTGTCTTCAGCTATAATTTAAAGATACTTGAATATAGGCACTGGATCATTGTTAGCGTTTGAACCAGGATGTCGTATATTATGTAAAGCTTACACAATAACACCCCCTCCCCTACACCTCCCACCCACCCACTCTCTAGAGATGACACAGGAAGTTGTACCGTCACGTAAGCCCCTTCAAATGACCATCTGATATGCCGTGGCTATTGAAACGCTGAACTCTACCGCATCTATCATCTGGAGATGTCAGAGGTGGTGGTGTAGAACATTCCCGGACGTTGTGTTCAGTCATATTTAAGGAAACTGACGGACATTTTCCTCAGCGAGAAAACAAAAAATGGAATTCTATATAAAACATGTTATATTTTATCCTCAATACTTTCAACTCTGGTCATTATAACGTCGGTTGAGTCACTATAACCGTTTTTAAAATGGCGTCACGCACGGTAATCAAGTAGATTTCCTCTAATAAGCTTGAAGAGTAATCACAGCATCCAAATTCTGAAGATTGTTTGCATTCAATTGTGGGTATTTGATTAGCTGGTTTTTAATGTTTCGACACTTTTGATTAACTGGTTTTTAATGTTTCGACCACTTTTGATTAGCTGGTTTTTAATGTTTCGACACTTTTGATTAGCTGGTGATTTTTTATTATGTAATATTTGATTAGCATGCAATTTTTTAAAATCAAGGACATTTGATTTTGATTACAGAAGCTTCTGTAATCTGTATTGCTTCTTCAGGCACGATAAAGCTGAAAATAGTTCACAAGTCTTCAGTATTCATGATGTTAACACACACACACACACATTTAGTATTTGTTCTAGGATGTAACTATTTAGTTAATCAGACACACACACATTTAGTATTTGTCTAGGATGTAACTATTTAGTTAATCAGACAGTACATTTAGAACCCTCCCTGCCACAAACTGTAACTAATAATTAACACATTTCAATTAATAGAATATCTACCCAAGGGATTTTGCGCACGTACACATGCACATACTTACACAAACACACACACACATCTATATATATATATATATATATATATATATATATATATATATATATAATATATATATATATATATATATATATATATATATACACATATATACATATATATAATATACACATATATACATATATATATATATATATATATATATATATATATATATATATATATATATATATATATATATTATAGACAATAAATGCCAATAACTGTCAATAGGTTAAATGCGGGGAGCCAACTCTCACAAAGTGAAATGGTGTTTGTGCGGCCCGTGTACAGAGGAAAATAAGGAGCGGTCGAGTTATCTAACCTTACAGGTCCAAGCACACGGAACAAATACAATGTTTGCATTTGGCCGGGTGTTCGAAGATCTGACACAGATTTTATTTAATGAGAGGAGAGTGGGCGTGGTTTATCAAACAATAATTCTGTACAGGTTTGGGGGGGGGGGGGGGGGGGGCAGAATGTTTTATTACATTCAGTCTTTGGCTTTCTTTCTTCATATTTTTGCTAAATGCTTGGTTTTTAGAAAGTCCAGTTGAATAAATTATGAACAGCGGCTTAAAACACATCTTACTGGAACTTACAACAATAATATTGATTATAGATTAATTAAACATATTATTTTTATACGAACCAATGCGATTTTGTTTTTGTTTTATTTTTAAAATGCACAAAAAAATTCCTGGTGTGGGGAGCGTTCAATTTGTTACAAGAAATGTTGTATGATATCAGGTGTGGTGGTTGTTAAAAAATGTTACATAATATAACACATGACTGGGTTGTTTAAAATTTGTCCAAATTGTGTGCCACCTAATTGTGTATGACGTATTAAGGTTATCTCGAGGTATATAAAAAAACAGAGTGGCTTAGCAGATAAAAATAACTTAAGAAAAAAATTAAACCTGAGATCTGTATTTAAAGAACAAAAAAAATGGACAGACGTTTTGACAGATAGGTAAGCAAACAGGAACAAGAGTTAAGCAAACAGTAAACTTAAGTCAGCAATCTCAATCAACAGGCAGTTTAAAAAATAGGATTTGCGTTCTACTTGATCAACGGCTTGGGCACATCGATTACAGATGATTTATCGGCTAAACCTGGATTAGAATCAATCGTTTACTTAACGTCTGAGACTGAGTAAACAGGTAAACATGACTTAATAGCTATAGTTGACTTAACAACTAAATCTGAATTAACAGCTACATCTGACTCAAGACTTTTTTAAACTTTCAAGACTATTTTATTCATGTGCAGAAACAAAGGGTAATTATAGAGTAAACAAGTTAATAAAAAGTCTAGTGACAATTTAAGCGCAATTTCCTTATGTTATCTAAAAATATATAAGTGATCACAAAGACGAATAATGCGTTCAAGCTAGGAGAACGATCGGTTTGTAGGTGATTATGTAATTTAAAAAAAAAATTGTGACCGAACGAAAGGATATTTTTTAAAACTTTCTTCGGCAATATTGTTCTAAATTATGACAGGAATCGATGGTAAATGTTTCAAGTCGCTAAGTGGTCTGGTTGCCGAGATATGGGCCAAAAACTGCATTTTTTCGAGTTTTTTTGGCTTTTCCGGGAAATCCAGGAAGGAATCCCGGGAATTTTTTTGTCCCACAATCATCCTCGGAACTTGCTTAACATATTTGCTTTGGAACTAGTCCTCAATATTGCTTCGTTGAGAGGAGATACGACTTAAAGCTGCGGTAAAGCTGCGGACACACATTCATTCATTCATTCGTCCATACATCCCATCCAGAAATGACGAGTTAATAATCGCAATCCCAGTATGGAAATTGCGTTAAAAAATAAATAGAGTAAAAAATTTTTCTAGAGGAACAAAAAAACAAATTTTAATGTTCAGGCTACGAATTTCCACTTTATTAACATTTGATCGTGTCATGTACCTACAAGATACCACATAGAGTAGTGCTACTTTCCGTAGTGCTACTTCCATTGGCGCTATTTTTTACTGGTGCTACTTTCATTAAAGCTACTTTCCCTGCTGCTTCTTTCTTTTGTGCTACTTTTATTGGTGCTACTTTCCTTGGTGTTGTTTTCATGGTGCTACTTTCATTGGTTTCTACCTACAGTAGTGTTACTAGGGTGGATTTTGTTGGATACGGGTCAACTTGTTTTTCGTCATAAAAGAAGATTTGCTATCCCCCATCTGTCGAGCCTCATCTACCCGAGGGTTCGAACTCGAGACTTTTCAGTATAGCAACCACGAGCTTTATCGACTCGACCCCTTAAAAAACAAACAATGTATAGGGCCTTGTCTAGTTAGTGACGGATACAAACTTGAAGCTGGGGAACACATCATTCACAGTAACGTATACGAGATTACATTTAATGACCGTATGCAATAAATTGTGAAGAAAGTATTTAAACTCTTAAAGAAATTGTTTTCGTTTGTCGAAGCTGAATGCTTTTTTAATTCTATAAATAACGTAACGTTACACTTTAATAACAGGTAGGGGGTCATCCATAAATGACGTCACACTTTTTTGGACGATTTTACCTCCCCCCCCCTCCCCTCCGTCACAAAAAAAACCAGAACCCCCCTTAAATGACGTCACACCTCAGCCTACAACCCCCCCCCCTCAAAATTACACTTGAATTTTTTTTTTAAACATCGATATTTTTCTAAAATCTTTAAACAGTTTTCTAAAAACGCGAAATAACGTCTAAAT